TGGCGGAACAAAGCCATCCACAATAGGTAATCATCGAAGGAGCTTCCATGGTGGATTGACAAAATGGCAAGCAACAAATACTACAGATTAGGCTGAATTGGAAGCTGCCGAGTACGCCTCGAGTCTGGGCACAACTCACTTTATAGCCTAGGGGGAAAGTAGAAACTCATCTCCAACGTCAAACTTCAGACTGTGTTGAATTACAAGCTACGTGCTGTTTGCATAACAACCTACGTGCTGATTAAGAACACATATGCCCCGAACAAGCACACCAGCCAGGCAATTCTACAGCTTTCATTTCAAGTAACGTATTTCACAAAGCGATGATGTTCTGGCAGCTGGAAAAGGAAAGATCAACATAAGCAACATGCATCCTTTAAACAAGTTTGATTTGAATCACATTTCATCCCCCAAGGAAAGCGAGGTGCACCAGACACGGCGACCTGGCATAGTTTTGGCTCATGCAGCCAAAGGCCATCCCCATCCGTGCGAATCGAAGCGTGATCTACAAATCGCCAGCACTCAACGCATGAAAAGCAGGGTTCCTCGAATGACCTTCACGGGGCAGCTCATTTTGCCTGGTTTTCCTTGAATTTGCGCATAGAAAAACACAATCAGTATCAGCGACGAAGAATGACATGACGACGTGCTTGGGAAACACATGGACAATCCTCATCAAGTGCTGCTCTTTGCCTTGTGACACTTCAGGTTGCCTAGGATCGGTCACATGACTGGCATGAAAGAATCATAACCTCTTCAACTGTGAGTCATTCGAATGATAACGCAGGTTTTGGTCCATGTTTCCACTTAGCAGGGTTCCATTTTGGTACCGTTTTTTTGAGCCACAGCCATATTGCAACATACACATTCCCCTCGCAAAGTGAACCAACTCATTCCGCTGCTCTCTGCCCCCTTCCCATGAGCTTCGCGCGGAGAAGGCCGCACATGACCTCCATTCCTGGTGGACAGTTCAGCGATTTTCCGGGGCCACATCCATGAGATTTGTTGTTATTTTTCTTTAAAACAAAAAAGATACCCAAAAAAAAGAAGAAGAACAAAAACGGCCGCAACGGTGGCACCTTGCGGTTGCCTGGCTTTAACTGAAAAACATATCGGGGACACTTGAGACAGGTTTGCATGAAAACAGAAAAGCCAAGAATCTCAAGGGTTCTTTGTTTGACTCGCAGAGCGCTGTTTTGCGCGAAGCATCTGGCCGGGTTGGACCACTCCCGCTGGTTGTCACCGGAGGCCTAGTTTGGCACTCAGAGCGCTCTTATTGCCGTGTGTTATCTTAGACAATCATCCATAGCAAGTTGGACACGGAAGAACAGAGAGCTTGGAGAAGTCTGAGTGAGAGGCTCCGAACATGGGCATGAACACCCACCGTGGATGATTCGCAAAAAAAGCAACAACAAGAGATTGGTGAAGCCGCTGGCCCAATAAAGCATTAAACAAAGGAGCGGTTCCAAGAGGTGGACGCAGCGGCAACCGAACACAGTGTTTCCTGTCCAAGGAAAAAGCCGAACCAACCGACCATGTCCAAAAGTAGCAGATCTGTTCAATTAACTTTGCTGCGTTGGAGAAAAATCACCACATGAGAATTGAAAATACCCAGGGGGTGAAAGTGGACAATGACTTGTAAGGTGTCTCAAAATTACCGCCCAAAAAAAACAAGCTTACCCACCCCCCCGGCAAAAAGCAAAAACCCCGCCAAACCCTTGCTGGCCTCACGATTTTACCATGATCAAGGTCACCCCCAGTGGTGGGTTCAAGGGAAACCACCGATTCCATTTTCCGACTTTGATCACCCCCAGCCGCCAAAATCCGCCCCGCCCCCCGCGGCTTTCGGCGGCTTCCGGCGCCGGCCTCCAGCGGCGCGGAAGAGCCGGCGCCCGCGCTCGCCGGAGCTGCGCGGGGAGGGGGTTTGGGGGGGGGGGGCGTTCGGCTCAGCCGTCGAAACGTCTCCGGCCGAGGACAAAAACGAGTCACTCAATTCTCTAAAATGTGCTGGATACAGGTTATGTGACACAAAGAGGGGCATCCTTTTTGGTACTTAGTACCCTCCCACCAATGGAACCTGACGTAAAAGGGGAAAGAAACGAGGGGCACCCTTTTGACCCTTTTCACATGGGACCTGACGTAAAAGGGCAATCCCGGTTTGGACCATGGTCCTTTAAAGGGGCCGGATCACGAATGTCAGGTTCCAGGTTAATTGGTGGGACGGTATGGGGAACCCTGTTTGTAATGTGTTGAGGGGGAAGCCATCTGGAATCAGTGTCCGTTAAAATAGGGATTGGCAATTCGAACCCCCGAAACGCCTTGAAACCTTTGTCAGGTCACCCTTTGGTTATTCTAAAGGGAGCCAATTGGCCAGGATGGCTTGTTTCCTTTCAATTTCCCGAACCTGAGAAGGGTGTTCTTGTCACGCTTTCTTTGTGTAGCTTGCTGTTTCGTCTAGAGCAGATACTTGCTGCTTCATGTTGCCCTTGGAAGGCAGGCCCAAAAGTAATCCGTGCGGGCATTCATTGGGCCCGTGGTTTGAAGAGAGCACGGACGCTGCTCAATAGCTGTTTGTGTTTTGGGCTTTATTTGTTCAATTGGGAACACCCTCAAAAAGTGGTTAACTAACATACACATGTTTCTGTTGAGTGGTTCCTCGTGGTTTCCGTTGACCCAACACCATGTGCCACTGGCCAGCTGGTACTCTCAAGCTCAACCAGGGTCTGATGTTGCAATGGGTACGGATGTCAATTGGGCATCCTTTAGGGAACACAAACTATGCAGGAGGGGGTTCTAGTACTTAGCCTAAAAAAACATATTCCATAGACGCCAACGGAGTTCTAGAGGGGTGTGTTCCCAAAGAGAGGACTGCCACATTTGCTGTCTTCTCTTCGAGAACTCGCCGAAAGGGAACACATTTTGTAGGACAACCGTGAGTGTGTCTGGAGGCTACTTCCATACCCACAAATGCATATATATATATATAATGCTTCTGCCTGGGTACATAGCTTTGCAATTTCCCACTGATCCACGTGCCGCCCATTGAGCCAATGGACGCCCTTTTCGCCGCACGGCATCTCGCGTTTCGACGGCGCCCGGCTTGGGCGCTGGATGCAGCCGGACTGGACGGGATGGGACTGGGTCCTCAAATGAACTGACCCGTTCGAGGCCGGGGCTGGAGTTTGACAGAGCAAAATCTCGAATGCTTTCTGCTCCCCTGCTAAAAGCTTAACTCTTAGTGGTTGAATGGAAAACCCATTCGTTGGCAAAAAGTCAAAGTCCTAACATCCAAGCAAAATGCACCAAAGAAATGAACCGAGTTCATCCATTGCGCAAGCTGTACACAGAAACGCGCATGATGGCAACGTGCCATACATCGGGGGTGATCAAAAGGTCTTTTACATTTTACATGGGGTGACCATCAGGGAAACCACCAACAACGATGATATTTGCCACCAAGTGGGAAAAGTTACCCATCATGGTCATTTGGGGCCAGGAATATTGATCAACCCCCACATGGTCAAACCAGGAGCTCTTCCACTTATAAGTAACCAACGACCTTTTGGGAATCCAATCGCTGCCAGGGGAGGTCCATTCAATCACTTACCAACGAAAGCTCCACCTAGCCCAGCAGTTCAAAACAAATAGCATGAACTCTCGTTTCCGTTCCAGGCACCAAAAGAGGCCAACAAACCAAGTTTCAGAGTCAAATCTTTGGACTTGACCCGCAAGGGTCAGTTGACTAAGGCAAACTCAGCAAACGGTCCCATCAAGAGTCTGGTGCCTCTCAGAAAGCTCGTGCCTTGCAATGATCGCGGGGAGTGGCAACCGAGGAAAAAGGAACTACGGGAAGGCATATTCCACTATTGAGGCATCCACCGTATGGATGCCCTAAATATTGCGAGGAACCGAGGAAACTCCGTAAATTTCCATGCTTTGTGGTTGGCTTACTTGCCATATTTGGGGAATTCACCACATATCCTTTTTTTGAGTATATCTTACCTGTGAAACTTTCGCAGAGACAGCATCTTACCAAATGACAACAGACTGTGGCCTACGTTCAACTTCCATGGAAGCATGGGAACGCTCGAAGACTCGAAACCTAAAACCACAAATGCCCACGCTTAATCAATAGCTCATCGCTTCAATTGAGGAAGAGCAACTGCGACAAAATGAGGGGTGCCAGGCCAAAGCAAAGGTTTTCTTTGGCTGCAGGGAACACAAGAGCCAGGCAACTGGACATGTGTGAATGCTGCGGCCCTCGGATCCCAACAAACGACTAACCTTCAGTCACAGTTCAAAGGAACCCAGGTACATCCTGCCCAAGAGCCCTTTGTGAGAATTTCCTGAACTGCTTGGGTCAATGTGGCGTACCATGATCCACGACAGGGCGTGTTGGGCAAACACACCGCCTAACAAGCCGAGGTTGTCCAATGCGCACTAGTATCATAGTCATATTCTTTGCTATGTGGACTCTTTACGTTCTGATACTGGAACACATTGGGCCAAGCAGGCGAACAATGGCGGTGGAAACACGCAAGGCGCAAGTATGCCAAGTGTTGTGAGCTAGCGGGCCTTGGTGAAAACTTTACGGTAGTCGAAGCCTCCCAAAAGGACGCCCACACCCAGGGGCTAGGCTCTAAAGGAGTCCTTCAATGATGCCACCTGAATGGGGTCTTTCAGGCCACAGTCAGCCTGGCTTGCCCCCGCAAACAAACAGGAACTTTGAGGAGTATCACTTTGAGGCGGCTCCCTTAATTTCCAAACAAAAAGTCAACATGTAAATCATCGCATATCCCAAGGAATGAGTCTTGGGCCTGCGTTTCTTGACTACACGCACATCCCCAACACTCCGGGTGGTCATCATTGTCTAGTTCCCCTTTGTGGAGCCCTTGTGAAAAACGATTTTTGCATGCAGACAGTTGGATCCCACATCATGCGGTGGATGTGCTGAGAACAATACAGCCCCCGAAGCGAAGTCTGAGTCCTGGACGCGAAACTCACCATCCACCCTGGCCAAAGGATCGATTGATGGCGACTGTGACCCGTCTTGCATCCGTCTGACAGGGGAGCTTTGCGCAAAAGCAGGTGTATGCATATGGATGGCTCGAATATCATAAGTTGTTGGTACAAGTGAATATGCGAAGCGCGCTTGGCAGCTCCAGCTCGGCCAACGCAACTGTACAGTACAAGAAAGTGCGCGAAGCACGCTTTGGCACTTCCAGCTCAGAAATCAGTGCAGTATGCGGAGTGCGCTTTGGCAACAGCTCACTTCGCGAAGCCAAGACACTCTTTAGGGACTCGTCTTGATTTGTTGCCTTTTGTGCGCCGCTAAGCCGGCTGCACAGGCAGCGGTGACCAAGCCTTGATCTTGCTTCACATGATGCTCTACAACTATCTCCTTCTGATCGCATTGATTTGGGGAACACCATCTCGTGTAACTGCGAAATTTCAACTTTCAGTGTATTCTGACCATGTCAATACATCTTAAATTGTCAGAGTCAGAATTGGTCGGTCGCTCAAATAAATATTGCTGTGTACGTGATATGTATTCAACTGTGTCATGTCGGTGAGTCGTCAGCCAGAGCTCACAGGTTACAGCCACCGTTTTGGGGTTGCCGCATGCGGAGGCCACCTCAATTGTTCATGTTCGCGTCAGGTGTCAAGGTGTTCAACTGATTGTCACATGCTATGATCAGCTTGTCTCGGATTTGTTTCTGGCATGATCAGTCAATTTGCAAAGCACTCTTGCTGGCAGAACCTTACACAACTTCTGAGATACGGGGAGTAGTGCCCATCTCAAACTTTGACAAGTGAATTATGCATTCTGTCAATCAATGTTTATGAAGTTGATGCGGGCAACAAAAAGCAGTGTGTGTTACTTAAGAAGCACCAAGTGCTGTATTGGTTTTTGGTTTGTTGTGAGCACCCACTTGGGC